CAGCATTTGGAGTGGGTGGTGAGCTGGGCTCCCAGGGTGCCTAGCCCAGGAGGCCAGAGGGTGGTCTCAGGACTCAGTGGGAAAACCGAAAGTTGGAAGGCTTATGTTTCTCTACTCAGCATTCCCAACAGATGGATTTCTGGGACGTGAAGGTGAATTTTGGGGACTTTCCCAGCTATGTTGTCCAGCTTTTCTCTGGACTGAGCCCAGCAAATCAAAACTCCATAGATTTGGCAGTTAGAATAAGGGTCCTAGAGTGTTGAGACCTGGAACCTTCTAGGTCTTCTAGGTTCATGTCTCTGAACCCCTAATGTGCCTGTGAATCACTCACAGCTCATAAATAATGTCAATTCTGAGCCAGTAGCTCTGTAGGGCGGCCTCCAAGGTCACCTGCACCTCTGGCCTACTTCAAGGGAGGCCACTCGGCATAGGAGGGCCTACCCAGTGTCCCCTTGGCATGTCATGTTTAAAGAGAGATCCAGAGACGAGGGGCCAGCTGGTTGCTGGAGCCGGTGTTGTGTAGGTGTCAGTCACCCCAATAGTTAGAACCTGATCATTCCTTGTTCTTCATTCACAGCTTAGGCAGCAGAAGCCCTAAGAGGGGAAAAGATGTGAGGGTGGACATCTGGTAGCCAGCGGCAAGGCCGTGGCAAAGGGGGTCTCTGGGGAGCAGTAGCGGTGCCTGCCCTTGATGAAAGGAGGCTATTTGGCCCCATGGCTGGACCCATGGTGGGAGAAAGGGAGGATTTTGCACACTTTGCTCAGACCCACGATAATCTACTTTCCCGAAAAGCCTTGGGGATGGGCTCCATTGCCCACCACCTGCCCTCAGCAGAGCAGTGACTCCAGGAGAGCGATCCTGGGAGGTTGTGAGGAGGAACAGATATCCTGCTTTATGCAGGGTATGGGGGCCCCTCCTCACAGAGGTCTGGGATTCCTTCCCTCTGTGCCATGAAGGTGGCTGAGAGGGGCTGGTGCAGGGACAGCACCAGGCTGGGGGCCTGAGGCCAGCATGGACTCACTGAGTGACCTTGACACACCATTCACCAGCCCAGACCACGGTCTCAAGGCTTGTCCTGAGGGACCCATGTCCTCGGCCCCCTGAACAAATGAGGGCTTCTGACTCCAGATGGGCATCTCTCACTCTGCTTGCCCCAGAGGTACATCGACGGGGGCTTCACAGGCATGCAGCCCTGCTCCTTCTGGACCGACTCCATCACCATCTCCACCTTCAGCGGGCAGCAGGACATCTGCCCCCGGGACTGTCCTGCCATCTTCCATGACTTCCGCATGTTCAACTGCTCCTTCCAGTTCTCCCTGGAGAACATCACCAGGATGACCCATGCCCTGTTCCCCCCGGACCTGCTGGTGAGGAACGGGGTGGGGGGTGGTGCTGGGGGGTGGGGCTCTATGGCTTAGGAGAGTCCGTGGGGTCACTCCATTCCATTTTGTCTCCTCCCTACAAATGATCCTTTAAACATTGTCCTAGACAGTGCCCTGGCCTTGCGGCCAACTAGCCATATGACCTTGAACGCACCCCGTATGCCTTAGCCCCACTTCTTCCAGTCCCCCCG